GCCGCGACGCGCGCGTTCGCCGCCGCGGGCGCGGCGTCGGAGCTCCTCGCGCTCCTCCGGAGCCCGGCCGCCCCGCCGCTGTCGCGCGCCGCCGCGCGCGCCACGGCCCCGAAGGCCGCGCGGCCGGCGGCGCGCGACAGCGGGCAGGCCGCGAGGCTCCGGAGGAGCGCGAGGAGCTCCGACGCCGCGCCCGCGGCGGCGAACGCGCGCGTCGCGGCTTCGAACACGGAGGCGGCGTCGTCGAGCCCCACGGCGCCCGCGGGCCCGGCCCGCGCGCAGGCCGCGCGGTCGTTGTCGAAGACGGCGTCGAAGACCTGGAGTTGCACGTCGAGCTCGACGGCATCGTCCGCGCCGCCGTCGCCCGCGCCCTCGGCGACGACGGCGTCCTTGAGCGCGGCCGTCGCGGCGAGCACCCCCGCGGCCACGAGGTCCGCGCGGACGGCGACGCGCCGCTCGAGGCTCGGCGCGCCGTTGACGAGCGTGTTCACGAAGAGCATGACGTCGCGGCGGAACGCGAGCCCCCGCGCGCCGGCGCCGAGGAGCTCGACGACGGCCTCGAGCGGCGCGCCGTCGCCCCGCGCCGCGGCGAGGTCCTCGAGCGCGCCGAGCGCGGCGTCGTAGCCCGCGTCGCCGGACACGGCGAGCACGGCGAGGAGCTCGAGGGCCTGCGTGCACGCGCCCGCGTCCGTCCCGCCGAGGCACGCGGCGACGGCCGCGACGCGGCGCGGCGACGCCGCGACGAGCGCGAGGCCGCCCGCCGCGCCCGCGAGCGCCTTGCAGCAGCGCAGGTAGCAGGACAGGGCCGCGACCTCGTCGGCGCTCAGCCCGCCGCCGAGCACGTCCGCCGCGTCGTGGCGCGCGAGGTCCCCGACGAGCCGGAAGAGGTCGTCGGCGACGCTCCCGGCGAAGCACGCCTCGACGCCCGCGCCGTCCAGCGCCTTGAACGGCGCCACGAGGGCCTCGGCCTCGCTCGCCGAGAGCGTGTCGCGCCGCAGCACCACGCCGAGCCCGTCGACATCCATCACGTCGTGACTTTGCGATGCCGAGATGATGCCGGACATGTTTGGCTCCCCGTCACTAAAATTTTGGCTCCAGCGCCACTACCCACGACCACCTCCGCCGCGACGGCGAGGGGGCGGCCTCCGGCCGCCGCCTGGCTCGGTTCGCCGAGGTACCCCGCGAACCCCCCTGGATAAGCGCACCCACTGAGGGGTGGGCCGGGCTGCCCCGCTCCCGAGTCTCGGCCGACGGCCCGTGTGCCCGGGTCTTGCCGCTGCCCATTTTGGCCGTCTTGCCGCGACCCTTGCCGCTACCCGTGCCGATGGCGGACGCATTCGCCCACGCATCGGGTATGGCCCAGAGCCACGCGAGCCACAGCGTGAGCGGTCGCGAGGAGGCGGCGCGCTACATCAAGGCGCAGCCGAAGCCGGCCTACGAGGTGCTCTACCCGCCTCGGTCGCGTGTGCTTCTCCACCGGGAACAAAAAATGCACGTCGCCGGCGGCGTCCACCGCGTCGACTACGCGCTCGTCGAGGACTCGGCGTCCGGGGTCCTCGTCGCGAGCCCCTACGACACGTCGCAGCGGCGGCCGCTCCGGGCCATCTTCCTCTCGCTGCCGCGGCTCTACGAGGCCCTGGACGCCCTCGACGAGAAGCCGTGGACGCGGCACGCCGGGGCCGAGGCCCGCGATAGGACCGTGTGCAAGTTCGTCGTCGGCCGCCGGGCGGGAAACGGCACTGTTCAAGACGACTTCAATATTACATGTATTCGAGCAGGTTCGACATGAGTTTTCGACTGTCTGACGACGAGAGAAAAGGACTCGTCCAAATCCAGCCGACGCGACTTCGATTCGACCGAGATGGAGACGTTTGAAGTCTCGCCGGGCAAAGCCATCCTCACTGGTTGTGCGCCACGCAGGTCGGCCGGCT